CTTGCAGGGTGCTGGAACGTAGTGTTTGCGAGTCGCATGCCGGTTTCCTCACAGCTCTCCAACAGCACTTCCCCGTTCGAGTTCCTTCGACCGTTCGCCCACCTGCCTAAGCAAGTGTATGCATCGGATACGTGGCGGTGGCCGACCTTAGCGTTGAAGTCGCCTCCCACGAGCACGAGCGTTCTCTTGGCAAAACTACGAATTAGAGTGAGCAGCGAGTCATAGTACTGCGGGAGTCTTCTCAGACGTCGGGAGCAGGGAGTCGTAAAATATTTTACGACTCCCTGGTAGGGAGAGTTGGAGCGTACGCCGAGATTATACTATTGAGTTCTTGTTCGGGGACGGAAATGAAAACAGAGCGTAGCCGAGCCGTTCAGAGACCGCTCTCCAGCGCGACAAGTGCGGCAGTAGGCGCGGCCAATAGCCAGGCCTAGTCCACCGTATCTGTTTATTGTGGGAAATGAAAGCAGCTTATAGCCGAACGGTAGACTCCACGTGCATTCGTCAATAATTTTAGTTTCCTGAACAGCACAAACATCAACCGAGCGAGTTTTCAGCGAACTAGCCAACTTCTCGCAGTAAATCATGGTAAATGGGACGAACAACTACGAACATTCCACGTAGCGACTCTCAGAAGCTTACGAGCCATGGCGGAGGGATGAAAGACGATGAAAGAGGAAGAGAAGAGGAGAGAGAGAAATGTCATGGGCTTGTCAGCACCCAAACCATTTAATTACCACATTCTATTACCACATGGAGAGCGAACTACCACAAAGACGACTCATTAATTTTATCGAATGAAAGGAAGTGTCGACAGAAGTTTTCTTTGCAGCAAGATGATGACAATCGCTTTAGCAGAGCCTCCTAACTCCTGTACAACATACCAGGCAGTTTGTAGGCACTACAGCCGTTTTCGTACGCATTCGACCTTCACACCAGCTTTCTACAACTAATACTTATAATTGACCTGAAAAAGACGAAAATAGTACTCGTATGGACCCGCTGGGGTGGACGTTTGCTGCGAAGTGGGCGTTTGCAGCAGGGAGTAGTACGTGGTATTGTACTACAGTGAGTATCGTTTATAAGGTGACCGGGTGTAACGATATACCGGCTATAATGATAGAGCTTGCCAAAATCAAAATCAAATCACAAAAAATACTGCTAAAATATCACTATACACACTATTATCGGCTATACCGATATATCGCTTATTGTGATGGGCTTCTGGAAGCAAACCATATCAAATGCACAGGAAAATATCGCATATACTGATCAAGAGTGATGATCACAAAACAAGTGTTCTTCCAATATAGTTGACTTCTTCCAAACTGATCCAATGTTGCCTGGATGCATCTGGCAGCAGACATGATTGAGAGAAAATTCTTCCCTGTATGCTGCAAGCAGCCACACGTACACATGGCTGCTTTTTATGCTTTTTCCAGCATGTACGCATCATTTCATGCACAGTCATGTGCCATGTGTCAGTCATACATGCAAATCGGCTATAGTGATGCACCGGATATAGTGATAAATTATTGAAAATCAAAGGGGCACGTTATATCCACTATTTACTGTACTCCCTGGCTTGCAGCGGACCTTGCCCCCACATTCCCCAAAAATCATGGCCAAACATCACCATGTTTTCAAGCAGGGAGTCGTAAATATTTTACGACTCCCTGTTTTCAAGTGGTGCTGTGTATGCTGTGCAGGGTACTCTCACAGTTGACATACCATCTTTGGAAGTTTCGGGATGGGTCTATACTTGTATCATAGTACTGGTGCAATACCAGTACCGGTACATCTGATTGTAGCCTATTTTACTGTTTAGACCCCAAAAGGGAAGTAATAGTTTCGACTTTCGTTGGAGCTTCGTTTCATTTTTATAGTTCAAGTAACATGAGTACGGTACGGTGGCAGTTTGTAGATAGCGTCATACACGTGGGTGTGTGACTGTGTGTGGGATCACTGGGATGGGAGAGAGCGTTTTTTTTATAGATATACATGTAACCAGATAACCAGGGAGTAGTACAATACCTATTCAGGCTATTGTACTACTCCCTGGATATAACCAAGCCTCTTCTTGTACGGGCAAAACAAACACGAGTGCAACCTCAACAGCATACTAGCACCGGAAAAAACGAGCAAAAATGACTGAAAACAGTCGAGAGAGCAAAAATGACTGTAAACCAGGATACGTACGACTACTCCCTGCTGTGAACACAGTCGATTGGAGACAGGGAGTAGTTTTTTTTAACGATTTTGACCTTTTCTTTTACAACTTGTACAAATTTATTGATTGAGTAATTATACTAAAAATGTTTGGCACCTATGATCAGGGGATGGCCCACGCCTGGTAAAAAAAGTAAGTATTAGAAAAAAATTAAAAATAAGAGGTTCTGTGTTCCGGCTCTCCGCCTTCTCCGCGAACAGTCATAAGACAGGGACAGGGAGTAGTACAACAGGGAGTAGTACAACTCCCTGGAGAGGGGCCTAGGGGGTCGACCGGTGGCGTACATACGATATACTAGCACCGTACCGGTGCAGCATTCAGATCAGCATCTCCGTTCGTCGAATTCGCAAAGTCCGTCGAAGCTCTCTTTTCCCTGTTCCTTCGGATAGCTCTCTCTCTCCCTCTGTGCGACCCGTCAATGTTTCGTCGCCTTCAGCACCCCGGCCATAGCTTAGCCCTCTCTTTTTGCACTGCCGCAGGGTTTAGTCACGCTGTAGGCTGCAGCCGTGCAGGCGTTTGGCGAGTCGCGCCCCCACCAAACCGCCAGGTAGTGCTGGCGACGGTTGCAGGGAGTTGCTGGCTGCATGCAGAGACGGCGGAACTGCACTACGAAACAGGTACAGTGTTCGTACAGTCCTGTCAATAGGGTTCCGTTTTGTTTTGTTTGGCGAAAAACTAGTTACTTTGCCTTTCTAGCGTGCTGATGCAACCGAATCAATTCTTCTTGTACCCACTGGAGATGTTGGTGTTCACAAAAAGAATTTCTACTGGCCACAGTAGATCTACCACGTTCGACTTCATTTTCGTAAAGCACGCTGAAGTTTTGACCATCATCGCATACGGTAGCCAGTGCCAATGATCTTGTAGATCTACAGCGCTTCAGTCCATTTCAAAACTATAGACGCGCAGTGTTTTTGAAATATTTCAAATTTGGCTGGAACTTTTTGAGAATAGTTTTCGGAATATTGCTCAGGTCCGCTCCACAATTACTCTCATATTATAGTTTCTAAACGATTGGATAACAGACGCCCAATTTGGAAAATGTTATGCACTAGTGATCACAGATTTTATGTGGTATAGATGCTGGCATAACGGTTTTTGCCTAGGTACACGTCTATAGTTTTGAAATGGACTGTAGTTAATCTGAAGTACAATTTACTGGTGGGGGAATGATGGCTGAGCCGAAAATTTGCACTCGGTGGCACGAATACGGATGAACGTACACATGTACAAATTTGTGCATGTGTACGTTCATCCGCATTCGTGCCACTTCCAGGGCGTCAAGGGCCACGCAAAACGAGGGTGCTAAATGTGCGCTCTGAGTCGTAATTCACCGAGTGCAAATTTTCGGCTCAGCCATCCCTCCCCCACCAGTAAATTGTACTTCAGATGGCTGACCGTACCACACTAAAATACCTTCCGACGCACCTGGAGGAGCGTATGCGTCGGTACAGGGCACCAGTTTTGCACTTTGGGTGGGATTTCAGCGAGTGTGGCTGTAGTGGCAGTCCGACGGTTCCTTTTGTGTGATGTTAGCACTGATGAACTGCACTGCTGGCCTCCCTACTCTGAGCACACACGAAAGCATCGCACTAGGGCATCGCATGAGAGCATGGCACGAGAGAACATCGCGCAAGTGACTTCACTGTACAGGCGTGACTGCTCGCACCTCACCTGCAGCGCGAGATGATCCAGAAACGGCGCTCTGGCCTCCAAGAAAACATTGCTCCTCGAAGCAGGCACTCTCATTTATCTCACGGTGATTTTCCTCAACCAGGATAGGACAAACTGAAGTAGTTGTCTCGATAAATTTTGCTTGAAATGTCCTTGTGAGACATTGGATGTGATTGGTTTTTAATGTATGGTGGTGACTATCACAGACTGTACCGTGACCCTTACCCTTGGGCCAGGCCCTGAAAATTTGGTGGAATGTAAATTTGGGATTTGAATGGCAGTGAAGAGACTGTTTCTAGAGTTTGGAGTTGAGAAGTCAAGTTTCCCGAACGTGTAAATGGCTGCGTTGGAGTTTGCCGACAGTCGGAAAAACCTGAGGTAGAGAAAATTGCGGCCAGGTCCGGCTGTCCGACAGTTGATACGGTTCTTGTGTAAAGCGCTGCGCCACAACAGCTATCAAGTACTGCGGGCAGGTGTTGTAGGAGTATGTTACCATGTGCCAGTGTCTTTGAGTGCGCAAGGCTTTTCGCGGCAAGGAACTCTGTCCGGTCTGGTTTGTTCTAAGGGCTGTGCGGACACGGCAGGAGGATTTTGCTGTGCGAAGCTCTGCGTTCATTTCCCTCGGCAGGCCCTTCGAAACCACCCGTCAATGTTGGTCGTTTAGACGTTTCCGGAGACCCCGCTCTTGCTCGCATCCAGATATCTACTCTATTAATGTTTTGGGGTGAGTTTTGAGTGTTCAAAGTGCGGCCTAAACATGTACTCAGGAAAATACTATAAATAAACAAGTTGGTTCCACCAGCTGACGTACAGTCAAATTCGCTTATAACAACACTCGGCGGGGCATCAAAAAAGTGTCCCTATTCCCTATTTCCTATTCAAGTGTCGTTTTACCCGAAGTCTCATTATATGTATTGCAGTTGGATGGGACTTTGCTCTGGGCATGGAAATTCTGTCGTTATTCGCGAATTGTCGTTATATCCGCAGTTGTTATTAACGAAGTTGACATATGCGTAATCTGTTTGCACTATGCAGGCAGTGACGGAGGACAGTGGCGGACGGAGAGGGAGAGGACGGAATCCGTTGTGACTGGCCCGCACACGCAGCCGCCGCCGCCGCATGCCGTCGCGAGTGAGAATGGCCGCGGTGCGACGATGCCGCCGAATTTCGACTGGCGCTTCCGTCACTGCTGCTCTGGTACTGGTGACCGTGTGCTTGCTAGGTTCTGCTCACGGGAAGATAGGTAAGACGTTTATGACTGCTGTCTGTTGGTTTGAGGATAATTATAACCTTTTTGCTGCAATGTGAGGCCGACTTAAATACTTGTATACTCTTAGTTTGAAGTTTTGAACTGTCTAGGGTAGCGGAATGATTCCCAATTTAGTCAATGTACAGTACCACTGCCCTGCCCGGGACACTTCCCTGCCCGGGACACTACCCTACCTGGGGCACTTCCCTGCCCGGGACACTGCCCTACCCGGGACACTGCCGTACCCGGGACAATGCCCTACCCGGGACACTTCCCTACCCGGGACAATGCCCTACCCGGGATACTTCCCTGCCCGGGACACTACCCTACCTGGGGCACTTCCCTGCCCGGGACACTGCCCTACCCGGGACACTGCCGTACCCGGGACACTTCCCAACCCGGGATACTGCCCTACCCGGGACACTTCCCTCGATGTACAGTGCCACTGCCCTACCCGGGACACTTCCCTGCCCGGGACACTTCCCTCCATGTGCAGTCACACTCCCCTGATCCGGACTCGGTGCTGGCCGCGGCACGTGCTTCTAGTACCGGAAGAACTCACGTTTCCAGAGTACTAGAGTACCCGTGTCCAGGCATGCCCTGTACTACCATTGTGTAAACGCCTTCTTTCAGGCAGCAATCGGTCCCAACAAGCCAGGATAAGGCAACCTCTACTGTACTACCTTCCTGTCCACGGTTTTTAACCATATTTGGGCAATTCGCCGTTTTTCATTCCATATAAATGCGGGCTGTGCGTACATGTGTTTTGATCTGTGAACCTTGCTATCCTGTATATGGAAGTACAGTTATGGCATGTGAAATCCGACACTTGCCATAGGGGACAGCGTCACAAATGGATACCAATGATGTAATGCACTGCACCAAATTTGTACTATAGAGCCGTATGCATCCCAAACAGATCGAAAGGTCACAGCGTAGATACACACAGTTGACAAACATGGTACACATAAGGAGTATTGGTATCCGATCCCCATTCATTTTTAAATTTTGCCAGCACCTTTTGAACCTTGACTGTGATGAGTACGAGTTTTGTCATCAGACAGATAAGTAACATTTATAGTTGTATGTAACGCAATGTCATGTACTGTACGTATGCAGGGCTGCAGACTGCATGGTGCAGTCCCTTATGCCAAGTGTCGGACTTCACTTGCCACATCTGTACATGTAGGAAGAGCACTATAGTGCTGGAGAAGCCGCTGCGCATCAATCACATGACCACACGGGCGGCCATGTTGGTTGTGACATCATCAAATCTCTGACAGGCATACTAGTACTAACTACTACAGTCAGATCTCGCTTATCCGGTCCTCTTTTATCCGGATCCCTCGCCATCCGGACGAAAATCGTTGGTTACCGATTTACAGCATGTGTCATGCATACATACAGTATGTGTGTTCGATTATCCGGTTCCCTCGCCTGTCCGGATATTTTTTGTGGGAAACGGATGTGTGCGGTTATGCGAGGTCTAACTGTAGCCCGATTTTAAGAGCAATTTTGCTAGCAAAATATCGAAGGGTTTTGAAGGAGAATGTGCTGGCAAAACACATCAAAATATCGGTGTGCTGGCTAAGAATCGGGAGAGTTAAAAGGTGGAACGCTCCCCACAAAATAGCGAGCGGCCTGGCAAAATGAAGGCGAAATATCGACGCTCGGCTGAAGCAAAATGTCGAAGCTTGACTGGCAAAATCGGGCTTTGCCGTATCCCTGAATCTAGTGGTGACATGAAGCCGGTGGTCGCATCGGTCCCACTGTCGACCATCATGCTGTATGTACTCCAATTTCAGAAATTTTCGGTGCTCAATATTTTCGGTATGAGGGCAACAGGCTAGGTTAGGTGAACAGAAATTTTCGGTACAGACAAGCAGTTCCCTATTGGATTAAGTGTGTTAGTGTTTGTTCGGTGTATTGAAATTTTAGGTATAAAACAGACGCACCGAAAGTACCGAAAATAAAAGTACACCGAAAATTTGTGAAATTACAGTACTGTATAAGCAGAAATATTCGTCTGGAATTTAATTTCGTCTTTTTCGTCCAAGAAGCTTTTGGACTAAATTAAATGTAGGACGAATATCGATTTGTCCAGCTTTTCTATACGCTCTTATGATCCATGGACGAAATTTTCAACCAGACGAACTCCTTTTCTTTGGAGTTGGACGAAATTATTGACCGATGAAATTTTCTGCCTCTACAGTATTCAGGTCTGCTCGCTGGCATGCCGCTACACTGTTCACAGCAATCCTCCCCTCCCCTCCCCCCCCCCCCCCCCTTCCAAACTGTACTCTCTTGTAGCATCATCCCTCAATGCAACGGACCCCACGATAGGCGGTCAGCCTTTGGGTCATCCCAATAAAGTAATTAGTTTTAAAATTAGTTATGAGCTAGTGGATATTAGCAAGACTAGATAAACAAGAGTGTGCAACTCCGGGTCTCTCCTGCACAATCCGCAGATACCCCCGGCCCACGGCGGAATTTTTTGTTGACGTCACCTTTTTTCAGAGAAAAGCGCATTTTCTTGCAGAGCAGTGTGAGGGCACGTGCTGGGCACCGACCTTGTAGTGTAAAGCCCGGCCAAGTCGACAAGGGAAAACTGGCATGCGCATGCGTCGTCGAAAAGATTACGTCAACAAAAAATTCCGCCGTGGGCCAACCCATCCCGGAGTTGCACACTCTTGTTTATCTACTTTTGATAGGGCTTGAAAGTGCTACATCACAGCATAGCAATGGCATAGCAACAATTTGAAAAATTCAAAAACTGTATCCACCTGGATCTAGTTTTTGTATGGATCCAAGCACATTTCAAGCGGTCTTACTCACAGCAAGGTGATGTAACCAGTGAAATTGACTGATTTGGCTAATGGGGGCGGGGTGACAACTGGTGGCGAAGTAAAAGTCGCACCTGCATACGACATGAGTGTGTTGCTATGCACCCACATACTGAGGCAATAGCAAAGTCACACCTTAGTGGATCCAAAATAAAAATCTGGTGTCAAATTACTACTCCCATCACTTTCAAGCCCTATAGTACCCAGTCCTCCACCATAGTGTGTTTCAAAAGTCCAGACCTCTGGTTTCCAGCATCTGCACCACATCAAATCTGTGATCACGTTGGGCATAACATTTCCGAAATTGGACGTCTGTTATCCAATCAATTAGAAATTTATACGAGAAAAATTGCCGGAGCTGCCTGAGCAATATCCTGAAGAAATTTCTCAAAAAGCTGAAATCAAATTTGAATTATTCGAAAAAGTCTAGAGGTCTATACTTTTGAAATGCACTATAGCACCATCTAACACTACTCGTTTCCCAAAAATATGCTTTTGACATTTGTGCAGTTGTACTCTGGGTGAAATCCAACCCGAAGTACGTACTTGTCGCCCCCCCCCCCCCCCCCAACTTGCATGGCCTGTGACTACCCGGGAGGTGGTACGAATGCGGCCGGACGTGCGTATGCACCAATACTGTGATGTCACGTGATCGGAACTAGTTCAGGACAGTTTTGCACTCCAGGTTGGATTACAGTGAGCACTCACCTGTACCTAAACTGCCACCCTGGTGTTTTCAGGCATGCTGGTGACCTGGCACAAACTTCTCTAAGCTGGTTGTGTTTCTCAACACAATTGTATGTTGAAAAAAGGAGGACAAAATGTTACGAGTTATGACTAACTGTCCACCAACATAACGAGATTTTATACAGTCAGCGAGTGCGACAAAATGGCACAAAACTGACAAGGAGTACTGAGACATTCGGCGACCTGACACATAGCTCCAACACTTCTCCAAGGCGCAAACCAACAACCTTCCAACTTGGAAGGCTCAGATTCGGAAAGGTCCAAGAGTTGGTGGACAGTTAAGCCTCGTTTACACGACAACGATTGAACAACGCTTTTGTCAAAACGTTTTCAAAAGAATACGCTTCCACAGATGTTGATAAGAGCGTTTACATGACAACGCTGAAAAACGTTTCAACGTTTCAAACGAAAAACGGCTTCAAAGTGCTTTTCAATCGTTTTCGTTCCGTTTCGTTCTCGTGTAAACGGCAAAAATGTTTTACTAGTACGAGCCTTGTACTCAAAACATGTCGCCGCCAGCCTGGGCCAGGCCAACTTATTGCACGTGGCCATTGCGCGCCGAAAAACGTGTTGCAGTGTACACGATTATCGTTTTCGTGTAAAACAGCAAAAACGTTTCGAAAACGATTGAAAAACGCTTCTCAATCGTTGTCGTGTAAATGAGGCTTTATTCATAACTCGTAACATTTTGTCCTCCTTTTTTCACCATAATTTAATTGGCTCACCATCCGAGGTAAACAATGGTATGTGCTGGTTGTACCGGGAATGTGCATACTTTACTTTGCATTCACGTCCACTGCCGGGGATGCTCTTTTTCAGGCCGAAATTGTCCAAAAATGTGTTTTTACCCTTTTTGCAATGTGAAGACAGTTTGGGGGATGTAATTACAATGAACAACATTAGGTACTCTAGTTCTTGATGTCTTGCTTTCAGGCGGCGGCTGAAGAAGACGAATAATTTTATGCATGTGTGTGTGTATGTGCGTGTGGTGTGTGTGTGTCGGTTTGTGTGTGTGTGTCGGTTTGTGTGTGTGTGTGTGTGTGTGTGTGTGTGTGTGTGTGTGTGTGTGTGTGTGTGTGTGTGTGCGTATGTGTGCGTATGTGTGCGCATACGCGTGCACGCGTGCGTTTGTTCTCATTCGTCAGTGCCTGTGTCGATGATCCTGACCAAGTCACTAATCGGATCGCCAGGGTGGTTGCGTGAGGGAAGTGGTGGTACCATATCTATTCCGGAAGGTGGCAGTATGAACTCATTGGTATGCTTGTCATCGCCGGGTGCTCCCGACTCCGTCAACCTCACCATCTACTACGAGGACGGTCGAGTGGGGCACGTTCCTGCCACATCCGGCGTCGGCGTGAGTTTCCGGGTGACCACCGAGCGGAAAGCGTCCGGACGTTACGTGTGCCGAGCCGGCAATTCGGCAAACTCGGCGCCGGTGACGCTGGAATACCGCGTGCAGGTCGAGTTCGACGTGGAGCTGACCGTGCCGCGCACACGCATAGCGGCTATTGCTGGCGCTCCCCTTCTCCTGCAGTGCATGGTGGCGCAGAGGCCGGAGTTTGTGGATAGCGTTTTATTCCTACTTCCACAGGGGAGCAATATCGGGACGCTTCTGCCAGTGACATCCGGGCAGGCTCCCTGGAAGCCTCGCGTGGCAACGGGTGTCAACAAGACGCGCGCATCAATGTCCGATGCCGGCGTCTACACATGTGCAGTGTCTTACGGGAATGGGTATTCGACACCCCATTTTAAACAAGTGGATATCACAGTCAGCGTTTCAAGTGAGTACAGCCATCGCTGCTACTTAGCAATTTGCGCAGCCTGCGTCCATAAACTACTGATTTCTTAAACATGGAATGTGTTATTGCATTGTAGGGGGTTTATCCATGAGCGTAGTGATTGGGATTTTCAGTCTTAGTAGTAGTACTTCCTCCGCGTCATCGAAATTGTCGCAGTTTGACTTTTGATATAAAACGGGGTATTTACTCACCAGCACTCGTACCAGAGGCAGGGAATGGGATATAGGCGATAGTCATCAGTATAGGGTGACGGTAAAGTCCTATTTTCTGTTATTGGAAGCTGGAATTTTTGAACTAGACGCAATTTCTTCGCTGATGTCGCTGCGATGGTAATTTCGACTCGCGGAGATCAGTCAGGCGTTGCAGCCTGCACATTTCTCGTGCTTATGGCCATTCACTCAAGCCTCATCACTGTTTTACCTTAGCTGGGATGAGATTGATTTCGTGGAACAAGTGACAGCGCTTGGAGAAACATCGAGGGGTCAGCAAACTAAATGCCTGCAACAGCGATAAAATTTGTTGCTCTGGCTGAGACACTCAGTACATGATTGTACCTGCAAGAGCCGTGTAGACTCTACACGTAGTGCTAGTGATGCACGCGCAGGTGCCGTACCATGGTATACCTGTGATGCTGAAAAACAGGGCGCGCAGGACGCGATAGTACACTTACCTGAGCTGCATGAGCTGCATTAGCTGTGACCAAACAGCTAAAATAAATGGGCATGTCACGGCTAAAAAAAGTTCATTTCAAGATCGAGGTGATTCCGCCGACGGTAACCGACCGACCTCGCAACGATCGTGTATTCTTACTACTACTAGGCTTCGTTGGTGGTGAAGTAGAAATCATCCAGAGCTAGCAGATGACAAGCATAGCAGCTCTTGTCCTGTGGAGAAAGTCAAAGCGTTTGAGATGAGGCGCGACCAACTTTCAACCTTCCTTGAAATATTTCGGAACGATATTTTTGCGTCCATTGACATCAGCGACGACGAGGACTTCATCTCTGCATGAAAACTCTCAGTCCAAATGTCCTGGAACGTTACTCTTGTCTTCAGACTATCATACTGTGTAATAAGTTTTGAATGGCTTAGCTTATGGAGTAGTCAGTAACAAGTGACAAATCACTAGTCAAACTGCGACAATTTTGATGACGCGGAGGAAGTAGTAGTAGTAGTAGTAGTAGTAGTAGTAGTAGTAGTAGTAGTAGTAGTAGTAGTAGTAGTAGTAGCAGCAGCAGCAGCAGCAGCAGCAGCAGCAGCAGTAGTCTTTCTCTCTTTCTTTCTTACTCACTCTTTTCCATTACCGTAAAGTACCGCCGGAGCGCCCCACCATCTCATCCTTTCGTGGTCGTATTGTGGAGGTGGTCTGCTTTGTCTGTAGGTCATACGACATGAACCTTGTACACATATTGCACGTTTTGCGTCAATCCGTACCTTTGAGCGGACACAAGCTCCACACAAAAACCTGCCAAGTGTCACCTTAGAACACTAAGATTCTCACATCGTACACACTTTAGTTGCACTCAGCCATACGATTTTCCTTTCTCTGGCTGTAAAATCAAGGTGGGGCGCTCTCGCGAGACGGGGCGCTCTGGCGCTACTTTACGGTACTTATGTCCTTACCATGGTATTTTTTCTGCCCGTAAAGTGGTTTCGTTAGTAGTAGTAGTAGTAGTAGTAGTAGTAGTAGTAGCAGCAGCAGCAGCAGCAGCAGCAGCAGCAGCAGTAGTAGATTTTATTATTCCCGTAGCTATGCAGAAGACGTTACTTCAGTAACGTCTGGCGCTAGCCAGGGTCCACACAGCTTTAATTTGGTATTTGTTTGTTTGTGTGTTTGTGTCACGCCTGGCGCAATCCGTATCTGACGGCAAAAAAGCATAGGATGTTATAAATTTTTCAATTCTCCTATTTTTCAGGCATATCCTGGGATTCGAACCCGCACTATCGCCCTACATGCATTCCCCCATACACTTTGCATTCATACCCATTCTTCCAAGTTGCTTCACGTTATTATCTTGCGTTTGAAAGCCCTATTTGAATATTGCGGGCAGCTGTATGTGGCCAGCTGTGTTTGATGGTACGGTACGGTACGGGAGACGGTGTCGTATTACCCTCGATCGTACCTGTCCCGTACCTATCCCCTACCGTACCGTGCCATCAAAGACGGCTGGCCACAATGCATATTCAAATAGGGCTTTCAAATGCAAGATCACAATGTGAAACAACTTGGAAGAATGGGTATGAATGTGCAGTGTATGGGGGAATGCATGTAGGGCGATAGTGCGGTTCGAATCCCAGGATATGCCTGAAAAAAAAATAGGAGAATTGAAAAATTTATAACATCCTATGCTTTTTTTGCCGGTAGATACGGATAGCGCCAGGCGTGACACAAACAAACAAATGTATGCGAAGTGTATCGGGGGATGCATGCAGGGCGCGCGATAGTGCGGGTTCGAATCCCAGGTTATGTCTTAAAAAAAGGATTTTTAAAAGAATTTATAACATCCCTATGCTTTTTTTTTGTCTAGGTCATCAAGGCAAAAAAAGCATAGCGTAGGGCCCTGAGCTTCCAAGCTCTCTCGTTTCACTAGGGGAGTCCCAACAGACGTTGCCTTTTTACTGGGAACCCTAGGTGAATGTTTACCATGTTTACATACAGAGTAAGAGATGGAGCCTGACGGCAGTCAGTGGGAAGAGCATTCCATCTGTCTGCCGCCAGGAAAGAAATAGAACGCATGCCATATTGCGTAGAAACAGGCGGAAGAACTAATGCACGCTGTGCCTGGCTGCGCGTGCGAGCCTGGTGTCCAGGCACAGCAGGTCTTCGTGCCACTTCGGCGGTGGGTCTGATCTGTTCATCTCCCACAACTGCAGGAGCTCAACTGTAAATAAACAAAACCGGAAAGTTTCGGTGGAGATTTATTTTCGGCAACAGGTAATTTTTACCTAAAATAACGGGTGACCTAAAATTCAACCGTGTCGTGCCACACGGTGTGCAAAATGAATTTTTGGATCTGGAAAACGGCTTTACCGAATTTTTTGCGCTACCAACCCGTTGATTTCGGGGAAAAATACCCAAAATATTACACCGCCGAAAATTCCCGGCGTTACAGTATGTGCGCCTGGATCCTTGATGGTGGTGGTGTTCCTTCAGATGTGGGAGACCGTGTCGCGAGAAACGTGATTTTTTTCCCATATTAGAGAGGTTCCGCACTACGTAACGTTGAGCAACTTTACGTTAGTGGGCGGGGAAAACCCGTGAATTCGCGAGTTTGCACTCCACTTACGGAAAGTTGTCTACGGAGAGTACGTAGATAGGGCTCTGATAACATAGCTGGTCCGTAAGTGGATTGGGGTACAAATTTATGACTCTCTCCCCAGGTCGATCTGGTCGTACACTGCTGCGTTCGGAGTTGCCAAGGGCAGCTACGTGATTTGAAGACTCCGTATGGCGGAACACAGATGCGCATGCAGTTTACGTAAGACTTTCGGTAGATCAACTACGTTTTTTACTAACGTAATTACGTTATGCGGAACCTCTCTAATGGCTGCAAGACGGGGGTGTTGCTCTTCACAAAACGTTTGAGCTGCCATTTTTGGGCTCCGCTTGTATTCAGTAAATCTTGCAGTTTTGCCCCTCAGGGGCTGGCTTAGCGCGATGGACACAAATGTATGTGGTGATATCACAGTGGATGATCAGTTTGGAGTTCCAGACCACGTGCGCAGAGATTCTTTCCGTCAGTCTTGCTCAGCATGTGCAAGTCATTTTTTCAAAATCCTCGAAGAAATGGAAAGGGAGCGTAGTCTTGCCGCCGATCGAGAGGAAAGATTAAAAAGTAAAATCGACCACCTTGCCCGTTTAGTTTCCTCCCTGACGGAGATCGTTGATAAATCTGGATCAACAACGCATTCAATGGTGGCAGTGAAGGCAGTCGGCCATGACGAGACCAACACGAGTAAGGGAAAGCCACGTCAGAAGAAGCGGCCAGCAGACAGCAAAGCTAGTACCCGGCGTAGATCTACGGACTTGAGTTCACAACTTTTTGAACTCGCGCAGACAGCAGCCAGCAAAGCGAGTACCCGTACGGACTTGAGTTCACACCTTCTTGAACTCGCGCAAGCAAACACACCCGATATGGCCGTTGGTGCAAGTGAGCAACCCAGCTCAACAGCAACAGACACGGGATCTGTCAAAATCTTATCGATTTGATTATAGAATGTAGAAGACCTTTCCAACCATGCACACACTCACACTACTACAACACAAACCACCATCGTTCATTCATCAACTACACTTCAGTCAAGAAGAAGAATAACCAAAACAAGGAGATACAAACAACGGAGAAAAGAACTGAGACGCACAATGAGTACGCTCCGAAAACGGCGGTGCTCGGAAGCAAGCGAGGCCAAATAGATCGCGACGCAGCGCACCCAGACCCATTCGGGCCTGAGCTGCGTAGCGATCGCGTGGTCAGGTGCACTGTGGTGCCATGGAAACAAAGATGGTGGCACATGTAGCGCGTGTACCACGAGGTAGAAAGAAAGGAAAATAAATAAATAAACTGCAGAACGAAAGTGAACGCAAAGAAGAAATATATTTGAGAGTCTTTAGAGAAACAAGAATGTAGTTCGCGTCTGGGGGAGGGTGCTTGCACCTAGCTAGAGGTGAGAGCACCACTGTCAGATAATGGAAAGACTGAGTTAGAAAAGGAGAAAGACGACGGAGTTGCAGACTGAAACTACAGGAAGTTCAAGTAAGACGTGAACACTAAATTTATATGTATTTCAAATATTCGTGAACGGCAGTTCTCGACAGGATCGGAGGACGACAGCGCATCCCGTAGTGCATCCCGTAGATCTCGTGGAGGTCTTGGATCGACACGTGGAACTTCAAATCCCAGGACGAAGATTCAAAACGCGGACGTCCAAGAACGCAAGCTGTTACCTTGTTTCAAGGATGAGCCTGACAATCTGGCATGGCAGCT